GCCAACACTCACGCATTGAGCGTGAGAGTCACGCAATTAACCCATATCTCACGCACTCACGCCACACTTGCCTTTCCTCACGCTAAGTTTTCGTCCAAAATAAATGTATATAAAAATGAATTGAAGGAACAGCAAAACGAGCGGTCTACGAAATGAGACGGTCTTCTGGCTTAGTTCAGTAAAGTTGGAACGATATTGGGAGATTCTGATTTCACGGATCAATAACTCATTAACAAAAACGTTATTCAGACACAAATGACATCTCCTAAGTACCGTGGTAAGGTTGACAACGAACTACAATCACATTTTGATCAAAAAAAGCCAATATGCGCCGTCCTCCGAGCTGGACACATTACATTGGTCTCTATCCGCAGCCGGAGAAGAAACGAGTGCTCAGGGACCGTCTGCAAAGTGCAACTCCGAAATAAGTGAATACAATAATATTCAATCACTATTATACAGCTTATTACTACCAAACTCACTACTACACAATAGTCTCATGGTGGTCATACTACGGCAGAGAGTTTTGAAGAATATGCTTTTGAATAATTTTGGGGAATATTTATAATGTAAAATCTTCAATAAATATGGCATCATCTTAAATAACTTTACTATTATACAGTATATTTCTACCAAACTCACTATTTGCATTGTTGTTGTTAGCATCTGGTTAGCTAGCTGCGCTAACGGATAGAAGCTGTTTCTCAAACAATGAGAGGGAGAGCTCTCTCCTGTCAGGCTGAGAGAGATAACTACAGCTCAGTGAGGTAAGGGACTCTGTTTAGATAGTTAACTTTAGTCTAGTTATCTCAGTGGGTCTTAAACGTTTTGGTCACCATTTATGAGAATAAATGAAAAACAGTTATGAAATAGCCTACTATGACAGTAAAACAAGAATACAGTTTAAAAGGTCAGTGATTTGTAAAATATCCATAAAGAAAAAGAAAATCTGTTTCCAGTTCTGTTTCATATGGGTGTTGAGAGATGTGTCCTTAAATTCATTTTGCTCTCAAAATGCACCAGGTTGATGCATTTAACTTCAATATTTAAAAAAAAAATCTTCCCGGGGGAGCAGGCCCCCGGACCCCCGGAGGATGTGCTATAAAATAGCACTTTACCTCTGCTTACACCTATATGCCATTTTATATGCTGTGAGCTGATTATCGAGCCTTCATTGTAAGAGTCGCGGGTACACTGTGTATGTGCGTATTCCATTGTAGCGCCCGGTACATTAATGGGAAACCCTAGTTTGTACATGTTCAATACATTTTTTCTAACACTGTACACATGAAGGTTTCTTTTTTCGGTTCACCAAAAAAAGATCTCATTCCAAGCTGAACTCAAATGTTGCCGGCCCTGCTTACACACTTCTCCTGGGAGCAATGGAACTGACAATGAGTAATAACATAATGTTACTTTAATAGAGGTGAATGGAGTGTTTTCCCCACATTATAACATTTAAACAGATAAAAAGGACAATAAAAGACCTGAGAGGCAAGTAATCCAACTTGTTTTCTATGAAACCTTAAGAATAGGTGAAAAATAAACATTTTGCCGGGGTCATTTTTTTAAGTTTGTTTGGAAAATTGTTCTCTCTTTTACTTGTTTGTTGTTTTAAAACTATTTTCAACCCCAAGAGGCTGTCCACCACTACCCCTCACTTCCAGGTTAGCTATACTTTCTCCATGCATTCTAAAAGAGTTCACGTGTGTGAGTAAGGGATGGAACGTTATTGCAACAACAAACACAAGAAGAATGAGCGTGACAAAAAGGTATTTCTCTACCAGTTTTTCACAGATGAAAAATTATGTCAAAACAAGTTACATCAGACTTAGAAAATGGATCATCAATTTGTTTGCACTTGCCTCTCAGGGCTTCTGTAAACAACAGATGTAAATAAGGGACAACAGACTCTGAGGTGATGCAGCTGTCTGACATTCACTTTATTGTTAAAACTTGTTTTGGTATATCAGCTGCTTGTTTTTTCTACCTCCATATTTCAATAAAAGGCAAACAGATACAGCTTCTTCTTCAAAAACCATGCAGCAGTGTAAACATGAGGTCTACCGAGATAAAAAGTCATACAACTAAAACATACTGGCAAAGAGTCATGTGAAGCAGTTGGTCTGTTTCACTTTCTAAATCAGCAAAGCTTTAACTTAGTGCTCACCGTTTGCCACATATAGCTGGCAAATATGCATGTTTGTACTGTGAATAAAGGGGTTAAAACAGGGGGAAAAATAAATAATGTGACAAACTGACAACATATACATAACACAAAAGCATTTCGATGTGACATCCCATTGACATCGGCATTTTCTAAGCATTACTAAAAAAGGTGTTCTACTGCACAGGAGACGCATCCTATTAGGCAAATCTGAGCCTCATATTGATGGTTGAAATACCACTTTGCTGTGACTGACAACTTTTTTCACTGATAATAGAAGGACCGGTCATGAAGTGCATAACAGAGTGAAACATACAGTTTAACCCGCTCTTTTTTTTTTTAACACAAGCAACAGGAAATATAAATGTCGGCCACACATAGTGTTAGTCAGTCTTCCCCCTGCCAGCAGCCCCTCCTGCACAACCTTAACTTTCACGGCAAACTTCATGTTAAGACACACCAGCTCCTCTGTTCACATGACAATTTTACTGAATTTCAATTTCTTCTACTGTTGCACATGAACACAATAAAATAGTCATCTAATGATATAGCCAGCACCCTAGAATACCAGGACAAGTTAGAAAAACCTGAGAATGAAAACGACAAAACACGCGCACACAAATATGACCTGCCTTCGCGCTACATAATAAAATCATAGCTGCTGAAAAGGACAAACACATTGTGTACTTGAGTCAGAAAGGCAACGTTGATCCATTGATCAGAAGGTCACTTTCCCCATGAAAGCTAACCATAGATCAACTGTTTAACTCCTTCTAGCCTCCGTATATATTCGATTACTGGATACATTGTTGTCGGCCTAGCAAATCAGACATTCTAATCTGTGGTACATGAAATTAATGGACACCATGCAACATGCAATTTGTTGGTGATATTTAAAAATCAAGTTTGGCCAGTTTACACATGACTCGGGCTGCAATTGGAGTGACCAGATGAAGCCTAAAAAACTAAAATAATTCACAGATTTTCAAAATTGGAACAAAGACTATTGCACCATCTCTGAACTTAAAACAAGGTTTAAACGTTGGATGATGCCACTGAACAATTATTTAACTCAAATTTCTCTTAGTGCGGTAATCAGACTAGAGCTCAAATTTCCCCCTCCCTTTCTGCCCTTTTTACATTAGTGAGTCTCTAAGGCACCCGTGCGAACAGTCCTGTGAATAAAAACTTTGATCTGTGCACTATCTGTACCCATATCACCACAATCTCAGCTTCCCTATACATACAGTACACATAAACGCCATATCGACAAACACTTCTCAATCATCCTTATTTCTGTAACATCAATTAACTTAAAAATAACCCAAAATCCAATATTTTATTATATACAATCTTCGTGAGGAAAACATTTGTTGCTAAACACAATGTTACTTCCACCAATGGAGAGGACAATCACTTGGTTTTCTTGTCGAGCTGGAAGAGATCCAGAAGGTCGAGCATGGCCTGTTTGATGTTGCCGCCGAAACGGTGGGAGTCCTAAAATAAGGTGAAAGAAGAAAAAGTAAGATGTCTCATCAAGTAATCAAAATGAAAGAATCTAAATTGTCCTTCAAAATGTCAAACTCTTACTGTTTCTGGGCTTGAGTGTTTGCTGGAGATGTGGAAGTTGATGAGGTTCTCACCAACGATGATATAGGACACACCGTAACCATCATCAGCCACCTTTAGGATGAGAAAAGAGGAGAGTTTAGTCTCATAAACTCAATCTTTTCCTAAATTTGAGAATTTCTGACATGGATACACAGACCCTTTTTAAACATTAAAACACAGCCAGATGGAAACATATGTGTGTGACATGCCATCCCCTAATTGAAGATAAAACAAAATATGCATCCATCCATAAAGAGCAGAAGACTGTGCAACCTTCTTTAAAATGTATGCCAAAACCAACGGGATAACTTACCGGACCGAACCCCCCTCCGGAGGACACATACTCGGGGTATTTGACCAGGTCGAACAGCTCCATCTGCTGCAGAGGCGTCTGACTGGTGGACAGCCTCCACGGATCAGACAGGACCTGAACAGGAAGGATACACAGTTTCATTTAACCTGGCGGAGCAAACTCACACTGTGTTCTCCTGACAAGCTACAGGGTTTCTAGTCTTGTTGAAGCATTTTTACTCCATAAAATAATTGTACAATGAATCTACATTTACCGAATAAATAATTGTATGTGCCTGTAAACTTGACGAGCCATGGTAATTAGAAGTGATGATTACTATTCTATAGTGAATCTTGTAATAAAAGGCGGAAATCTCTTTTAAAATGTGTATTAGTTATTTCTTCATTTATGAAGCTTTTGGCAATATTTATTTGAGTTGAACAAATAACATTTATTGAGTCAATTCAATACAACAAGACAAAATTAAAGGAAATCAGCTAGACTTGTTTAAATAACGCTACTTTATTCTAGACTTAGGCTGAGACCCATATCTTCGAAATTGTTCAGTGCAAAATTGTAGAAAGTTTAAGAAATCACCAATTAAACAAAATGTCCTCATAGTTAGAAGAATTGAGCAGATGCACTGGGCCATAGCTACTTCTATTGTTGATGTTCTAAATGAATAAGAACACAGTATCTGGTCTGTGGTAACTCAGTTACACCATCACACTGCTTGGGGAAATATAGAGCAGCCATTGTTTCACACTTCATACCTCCTTGAGGAAGGCTGACTCTTCTCCCAGGTACTTAGACACCACATAGAGACAGAACAAGTGGCGATCGATTCCCCCCCCTGTCATTGCCAGGCGGTACAGGTTCTGGTGCTTTTCCGCTGCCAGTTTGAGCAAATTCATACGCTCTTCTCTCTGAAATGGAAAGGAGAGAGATCCAGGTCAAACATATGAAGAAGACAATCTGGAAACTTTATTAACAGTCAGCGGCTGATAGCAGATCTGTAATCAGAGGTGTGGTGTGTTGCTGAGATCTGGCCTCACCGTCTCATCTCTGATCATGGCACGAACAAAGGCACAAGTCTCCATGGTGCAGGAGCGCACAGTTTCAGTTCGGCCCTCACGGAACAAACGGGTCATGGAGGCTTCGTATGTCAGGCAGAACTTCTTCTTGTCCTGTTGAGAGAGAGAATAGATCAGATTTAATAAGACACCCCACAGGAGGTTGTTTCATTATGTTTAATGCTTTCTGGAATAAATAACAGAAATACTTAACCGATACATAACATTACCAAGACTGATATCCAAGGCAATTATCTGAAGCCAAATCATAAATAGCAATAATAGTCAACTTTATAAAGATGTTGGATTATTGACCCCTTGATATGTGCCTTTGCTGTGGCTTCCATTTTTTTTTACTGCCAAACAAACAGTAAAATACAGCCTCAAACTAAAGCTCAACTAAGTTTAAATTCAATCATTCTTTGGCAATGTTTGGCAGTCTTCAATGCCATGTTGAGACTGCCCTCTGCTGGAATTTGAGAGGAATTTCCATGAACTGAGTCAGTTATTATAACGATAAGTCTATGCAAAGACCAAAAAAAGGACAAATGGATGAATGAATATAACTGTAATTATTTTGAATTTAAAAAATCTTAGAAAACTGTGAGATGAATGTAATTACCCTGAAATGAGCCAGCTGTAGAGCGATCTGGATAAAGGCATCAGGGCTGGTGCGGCACTTCTTAATCAGACCCTTTCCAAAGTTGTTGAAGGGGAAAATGTGAGAGTCAACGTCGTCAGCCAGAGTCCTGGCGACGCTCAGAGAGCTCTGCACCACCTCCTGGCACTGCAGGGACACACAGGCATACGTTAGGCTGAGCAGAGGCAGCATAGCATCGCTGACAACATGTACAAAACAATACAAAAGGCTTTATCACTGGCGCTAGTACTTTTTAGGCTTAACATGAGTTTAGAAAATGTGGAATTTCAAATAAAGAATACCCAGAAGCCCATTCTCTATATCTTTGAGTCTTTTAAGTAATACAGACCCTGGTGGTGCATATATTTCAAGCAACCAGCAGAGGGAACCCAATACACAGGGTTCGAGTTATGTGGGAGCCAATGGGAGCTGAGCTCCCTTAAGGAGGGTCTGAGCCCCCACGGACGCAGTGAAATCATACATCTGTGGGGGTCGCTAATACATTAACAACAACCATTATTTTAATGTAATAGAATAGAATAGAATTCCTTTATTGTCATCGCACCAGGTACAAAGAAATTTAAAAAAGCAATCCTCGCAGTGCATTTCCACATAAAACGAATAAATATATATCAATATAAACATATACACACATAAACATATGCTCACATCCATACCAACATGCATACATGCCCGCACATCATTTAAATACAGTTTACAATATAAAAAACACAGGGATGATATTTTGCATCTCTGATGTCGATCAGTTAATAAGTTAATAAAACTGAGATAATGAGTATTATATACATTAACGAGGTAAATAGGCTAAAAGAAAAACATGTTTTCCAAAAGAACTACGCATCACTTGAATGACAATATGCCTGCACTGTATCTTCCAA